CATTACCGGGGGGATGTTGGGATCCAGGCATAATTTGTGCACAACCACTTCTAGCGGGATACTTGTCATATCCGTATGCCCACACAAAATAATCAACATTAAATTCAAGAAATTCTATAAATCCTAACCTGAGCTCGGGGTTTAATCCTGTCCCCAAGTGAAACTTCCTCTCCAAGAACTTCTCAAACAATGCGACTTGTTCGCGTTCTTCCGTTGTGGATTTGGTTGCATCTGTTTCTTCTGGTACCTGGAAATACCTTGGTACCTGATAGGATTCTGATGACTCTTCCCCTTTGTCAACTTTGCTTGGCTTAGTCGGTTCCTGTAATTGATATGTTGTGTGTTCTTTCCCTTTACTACTGGAAACCGAGATCGCGTTCATCTCCCTTGCTGCCGGTTGATCTCCTCTTATTTATTTAATTCCTTCTAGAGTAGGCAATTTTAGAAGTTGATGGTATGTTGATGGAACTGCCTTCATCTCGTGTAGCCATGGTCTTCCAAGAATAATGTTGTAGCCCATGTTGCTGTCTACCACTTCAAACGGGATCGTCTTCATGACCCCTTCGGCGTTTGTGGGTAGTTGGATCTCCCCTCGGGTTGTCACACTTGCTAAGTTGAACCCGGCGAGGAGCTTTGTGGCCGGAATGATACTTCTGATTAGCTTGGCTTGTTCCATCACTCTCCATTGAATAATATTGGTTTAACTCCCTGTGTCCACCAAAACACGTTTAATTTTAAAATCTAAAACATTAAGAGAAATTACCAGCGCGTCGGGTCTGCCGCTCAGTTGAAAACTATGAAACAAGTCTGCGGTAGTTCAAAACTGGAATTGGCACAATATCGCGAAGTGGCCGCCCTTGCTCAATTTGGCTCAGACCGCATCTTTGTGTGGCAGTATGAGTCCATCGGCGTCCTCCTCCGTGATGATGATATCATCCTCGGAAAATTCCCCGAGTCTTTTGCTATGGGTCGCCGATACCTTTGTCTTTTGAGATGTTGAAAAGGTTACACCATTAATCTCGTTCCTTCTGAAAATCATGTTGATCGTTAGACGAGGAGGATATTCTACTGTCTTCGAGGGTTCCACGTTATCCCGGTTGCGGTCGTAGTTATATTTAGCTCGATCAGTTAAAAACTCTCTCAAATGGCCTTTTTCAGCAATGTTTCCACCTCCTCGCGCAGATGTCAGCAATCCCCAGTACGATGGCCATTAGTCCAATGATATTCACACCATAGAATAGGATCCCTCTAACTGGGATCGGATCTCACCAGCCTCGGGAACTATGCTTTCTTAATGTTCCTCATCACGTATATCAGCTCCACCACGCTGACATTGAAATTATACTCAGATAATCTGGGATAGGTGGAATCTCGAGAGCCCGATATCTCTTTGTCATGTAGCGATTTGTTATTCCGGTGATGGTCAACTCTCCTATTGGTCAAGAAACTATCCGCCGATCGAAAACCTCTATCGCATCCTTCAGTCCTTTCGTAGGGCAAAAACCAGCATTTAGAAGACTTTCAATTTGTGTCAAAATCATCCTTCAACGTTTCCTTATTATTCTCTTGATCATGTCCTTTGGTTGATACCGGGAAATCGAGCTGGTCATCCTCTATTATTATCTTTGATTCGTAGCGGTTGTGGACACCTGTCTATGTTGTTTCCTGGAATTCGAGCAGACTTTCTTTTAATTTTTGGGAAGTGCCAGAGCTCCTCAGGTTCAGCACCTTAGTAAATGCCTCAGCTGCCCATTCATATGGCACGACCGGTAGCAGTATCCTTGCCTTCTTTAATTTGGTCACGAACTCTCACAGCGATTCGGACTCTCCTTGCGCAATTCTGAATATGTCGGCCTTTTTGGCTTGTTCATTCCTAGCCCCGGCGTGGGCCTTGATAAAAGAATATGCGAGCATCTCAAAGGAATTTATTGAGTGCTCAGGTAGAAATGAGTACCATGTCAGGGCCCCCTTCGTGAGGGTCTCCCCGAACTTCTTCAGCAAGACTGACTCAATCTCGTGCGGAGCTAAGTCATTTCCTTTCACTATCGTTGTACAGGTGATGTGATCCTGAGTATTCGAAGTCCCATCATATTTTGGCATTTCTAGTATTTTGAAGAGCTTCGAGATTAACTCTGGTGCCGAGCTTGGTTTGAACGGCAACTGGGTATATTTCTGTGAGCCCGCTCCTTTAAACACTAGCGGTGCGCTCGGTATTTCATCCATTCGGCCATTTATTTCTGTCATGAATCGCATGAGTTCGGTTTTAAATTGATAATTTCCGTTATTGTTACCAAATCCGCTGTCGTTACCCTCGGCCCCGTCGAAGTCGACCTGAACCCTCGGGGTGTTGTTATCAAACCTTTGCGCCATTTGGTTTGCGGGAGCACCGGGAGAAACTGGACCTCTTCCCTTCGCATTGTTGGATGTACCTAACAACACTTGCCTCAACTCTGTTATGGCATGATCTTGTCCCGACAGATGGCCTATAATAGCCTTTTGTTGTTCCCTTAGGATTCTCACCATTTTCACAATGTGCTCATCTTCAGCGTCATCAGAAGTTGCCTCTCGAACGTGTCGTGGATATTGCCCTCCATGGACTGGCGTGGCTTCATTCTCCTCATTGCGGGTATCACTGATTGAATCTGCTTGTTGAGGCTGATTTCCTTGGGCCTCAACGTTGTGTGCGATATTGACATCGTTATCTGCCATGTTTTGTGATTTTTTGCTAAGAAACAAAGAATTAAACATATTAGCAATAGATGCAAGGATCAACTCAATTACACAATTGGCTAAGCCCCATGGTAGGCGCCAAATTATTTACCCGTAAAATGGTACAGTTGAATTTATAATGTGGTTTATAGATAAGAGAATCGATTTGATCCCAAAATGATAAATAAATTAAATAAAGTGCAAGACTTAGCGTTGAAATCGAGATAAGACAACAAATATCTTGGTCGGAGCAGAGCTTACGAAGGCAGCAATAAGAATATCAATAGACATGAAATAGAGTATTATTGAGCTTACAATAATGTGTAGCATAAGTTTGTTAGAAAATTCATGACTTTTACAATGGTTGTTGAAGTTACTATTTATAGCTGCACCTAGGGAACAAGGTCATAGGATCAGGCCTCTCTTAAATGACAATTATAGAGGCCATTGATCAATGAATGCCAAAATTTTCTATAACGGATTGTGTATTTAATATTGAAGAATATTCTTCATTGAATGTCATCGAGTAGCAAACATTCGTTTGTCTTCATTAGCAATATTTCCTTCGAGGTCTTTCCGGCGCCAACCGAAGCTGCTGTCCCCGATCTTGGTTTCTACTTGCATTGCTTTCCGTCTGTCTCCGGCTCCACGTGTCACTATATTATTCAAGTATTTAATACGAACCGATTTTACCCTATATGAGGAACTTATCAAAATGCAACACCTTAACAAACAAAAGGTTTTTGGCTTTTCAAAAGCTTCACTACTTTCTTCATAGAATCTTTCAATGGCTTCTCTTTTAAATTAATGGTTTTTACCAAAGCTAAGAACAAAATGAGAAATTTGACCTAGTCATGACTTTTGAAGCCAATGATCTGATATTGTCTTTTACAAATTTGGTACGTCGACCGAGTAGCATTTTCTTAGGATCACTTGACTTTTAATAGAAGTATAATATCGATCAAATAGACCTAAAATATTTATCTATCTTGATACATGCTTAAATGTATTTTTCATAAATAATGTACTTGAGGAAGATAATATTGTTTTCTACAATTTGTATTTTAGTATTTTCGTTTTCCCATTTCCACTTGTACACGGTCGCAACACCAATTCTGAAATTAGAAGCAACTAATTTTGAGCTTGATCAGTTCAAACTCGTAAATATATTAGGAGCATTAATATATTAATCAAAGATCCTCAAAAGTGGTTCCTGTTTAGGTGTTTATACATAATAAATATTCCAAATTATTTAAGGTAACTAAACTTCCAGCTTTGAATAAATCATATAAAATATAACAGAATTTAAATTATATACATTGGCATGGTATAAATAAAAATGAATTATAACACATTACATAGGTTCGTCATCATTTCTATCAAACTACTATATACATAGAAATATTTGCCATAGGTATTTGCTTCTAATTATCTTATGACTGGTCTTATTACAAATATCTTAATTTTTCTTTTGGGTTCACATTTGGGTTTCATACATGAATTTTTTAAAGAGCTTTTAACATATTTGTTCAGTCGGCAAAAATAACTACAGTCGGTAGCTAAATGTATAAAAAGGTACATTAATTATGTAGAAAATATATATATTATATACTAATATATAAAAATTATACGTGGCTATTACTTATGGGATCGATATACTATGTACATTTCTCTTTTTTATTTTATTTTAATTAACCTTGAACTCATCCAGCAATCGTCTCATCACTATCCTGATACTTGTGTTTGCAATAAATTATTTGTGATACAAAATAAATTGCAACCACAATATAAATATAAAGAAACATAATTTTATTGATAAAATAATACGGGTACAATTCTGTTTGTTCCCTTGATTCTTCTCTCTAGATCGTTTTTCGTAATTCGAGGGCTTAACCAGCGTATTTCTCGAACGTAGGATGATGCGAACTTTCTTAGGATATATTTGATCTCCTTGAAAAGGAAGAACATCCGTTGATTACATCAGAGGCTTTGAAAAAGATAATATTTGATGTCTTTGATCTCTTTGTGAATATTCCATGAATTTATGAAATTTCAAGATGCTTTCAAAGGGAATATGTGGTCCCTTTTTATAGGCGTAGCTAGGATTTTTGATAGAATACCCTCCAAGCTAAGGTTTCAGATAGAGTAGCCTCCAAGAAAACCTCGATGAACTCTACTTGTTTTCTTTCTTTATACTTGCTTATGTACTTGGTAAGTACTTAATCTTTGAATAGGTCAAAAAAGAATTAAGTTGACAATATTGAGCTTCATATGCTATAAATATCACAATCTCTGCTACCAGTTTCCTCACCAAGATATCCAAAAGAAAAATATTAGCGATGGCTAAATACACAGCCTTCATTGCCCTCATCTTCTGTCTTCTCCTTGTTGCTGCTACTGGTGAGTCAAGAACTTGTTTAAGCATGCTTTTTGGCTAAACCTTTTTACCAATGTAGCGACTTCCTCTCTATACACAATTCTTTTTTTTGTGGGTTGTGCTGTAATAAGAAAGATCTTTTGTTAGGTAAATGTTGGGAAATATTGTGTATGCTAGGTCATTATTATTTTATTGTGTGATTATCTCATTTAAAAGTTTTAATTGTTAGAGAAAGTACGTTTTTGATTACTTAGTTATTATGTAATCTCTCACTGCAACCTTCATTTGTCGGTATATTGCTTTTTCATGAGCCAAACATGTGAAAATATATATTTTTTGGGTGGCGGTAAGATTTTAACATAGGACCTCCATCCTGCTCTTATATTATGCTGAGTTATGTGATCATCTCCTTTAACTGGTTAAACTGTTAGAGAGAGTACTCTTTTAGATTGAAGTATTATATTATGTCTCAACAATATATAAATTATTAAGAATATCTCAAGTACTTATATATCCTAATTGGTTTTCAATTTCCCAATTTCATGCAGAAATGCAAATGGCAGAAGGAAAATACTGCTGGAAGAAAAGTCACAAGTGGCATGGGCCTTGCCAGTATTCTTACAAATGTAGCCACCATTGCAAGCACTATTTTGGAGCTGAATATGGAGTTTGTAAGAAATATCAATGGGGAAAATATGCTTGCTATTGCTATTCTCCTTGCCATTAATCATGAGGAATTAACTTCAGAGTCTCAACGATTGACTTGGAATGATATATATAAATAAGAAGATGACTTTTTGTGTTTGCAGAGTACTAAATACTGCTTCAACAATCAGTTAGTGTGATTTTGTTGTGTGTTTGTTGTGTCACAATGTAATAAGTTTTGTTAAGTCTCTAGCTTCACTTTTTTGGCCGAGCTAATTGCATTTGCCTGAACAATTATGTTGCTTTTCATTTTATTTTATGTTTCTATATTGGTGTTTAATTCGATGTTGTGAACCATTGCATTACACTGAATAATACTAATCTTTTTATTAAAATATCATTTTGTGCCAAATATGAAGCAAGTTTGACATTGATTCCTACCTTGTATATTAATATCGTGAAGACTTTCGCATCTTAAGTGAAGAGAGGGCATCCCCGTTTGTGAAGTATTACTTATGGAAGAAAAAGCTATCTATAAAAGCAAATAGAAAGGCGAGGATCCGCATTTGGTTAATTTTTAAAACTAGGGAGTTCAATTCCCATTTGTCCAAAAGAAAAGGTCTTTAGCTTCTTTTGCGAATTGATAAAGGATACTATTTCCGGAGGGAATGAAAACATCAGATATTTGGCTTTATTTTTGGTCCAAAAGATATACTCTGAGTGTTGTATTCAAGTTAGAGTTAACTTGAAGTTGTCGCAACAGCTAGAGGCTGGTTGCCACAAAGGGAGGCTGGTAATCTTTAGGTTTACAAAGAATTTTATGAATGCTATTTCTCAGTGATTAAGTGAAGTGTTGGAAAAAATCCTAATGGGTAGTAGGTCGTGGTTTTCTCACCTTTTGAGCCAGGTATTTTTCACGTAAAAATACATATATTCTTTACTTTCCGTATTTATTATTCCGTTATAGTAGTATAAGGGACACATAGAAGAACCAGGTCCTTCGATAATCGAGTGCACGTGAAAATCAGGCACCACACAAATCACCCCCTCTTGTGTTGTATTTAAGTATAAAACATCAATTGGTATCCTAATGGGTTATCCTTCAAGAGGCTTATACCTTAGGAGATGATCAACATGAGTGCACCACCTGAAAACTGGAAAGGGCAATCCACTTCTAGGCCACCACTCTTTAATGACCAGTACTACTCTTGGTGGAAAAACAGGATAAGAGATCACATTATAGAAGAGGACTATGAGCTATGGGACATTGTCATCGTTAGTCCACTGGCTACGTTGAAGAAAATTGCTGAAGGAGTAGATGTGCCAAAGACAAGAACGGATTGCACTGTTAGGACTTGAAGAAGTGGGAGAATAATGCTAAAGCCAAGAAATGACTTGTTTGTGGACTTGGTCGATATGAGTACAACATAATCCAAAGTTGTGCCACTGCTAAGGAAATTTTGGACACAATGCAAGTGGCTCACGAAGGAACACCTCAGGTGAAGATATCCAGAGGAACTCTATTGTACTCTTAGTATGAGAATTTTGCTATGAAGGAAGGAGAAACCATTCAAGAAATGTACACAAGGTTCACTATACTGACAAATGAGCTAAAATCTCTTGGAAGGATTATTTCTGAAGAAGATAGAGTCGCGACAATATTGACTAGGGTTTTGCCTATCACATGGGAGAGCAAAATCACTGTCATCCGGGAATCAAAGAATATAGCCACTCTCCCACTGGATGAATTAATTGAAAATCTCACTGTCTATGAACTTAGGAGACAAACCATAAAAATGGATGTACCTAAGAAGGAAAGGAGCTTGGCACTCAGAATCACTGAAGTTTCTGATCTGGAAGATGATGAAATAGCTATGATCACCAAGGACTTCAAGAAGTACCTAAGGAGAGGAAATGGTTCTTCAAAAAGTGGAAGTTATAGCAAGTCAAAAGCTCCTAAGAAGAAAACCAATGATGGCTGCTACAAGTGTGGAAAGACTAATCACCACATCAAGAACTGTCCTTTGTGGGATATTTAACGGAAGAAGAAAAGAGTTAAACAAAGGAATAGGTTCAACCTAAGAAATGCAACAACAAATGATCAACCAAGGCTATGATCGCTGCTTGAGGAGACAGCTCAAATGAAAGCTCAGATGATGATGATGATGAGGATGAACGAGCACTTATGGCCATTGGAGAATCTGATGAAGAAACTGAGGTAAGTATCCTTCATCTCAAAGACAAGATTAAATTTTTGTCTAAAGAAAGGTTATCAGAGTAACTACTGGAGCTAATTGATGAATTTGAGGATGTAAATAACGAAAAGGAACAGTTGTCTAAGGAATTTATGATTTTGAAGGCTAAGTGCAAAAACCTAGAACTTAGGGTTAGTGAAATTGTAAGTGAAAATACCGTGTTTAAGAACCTGGTTCATGCACTTGACTCAACTATCCTAAAGCTTAGATGTGAAAATCTAAAATTGAAACTAGGAACAGGCAAAAATACAGCTAATCACACACAACTCACTTTAGAAGAAAATGTAGGAAAAATTAAGGATGAGTTGTACAAGAGATATAAACAGGTAAGAATTCTAAAGGAGGATCTAAGAAAGGTCAAGCATGAGCTAGTTAGAACCTGTAAATGGAACAAGTCCTTCGATGTACTTTCATGGCTACTAGAACACTATAATAGCAACAAAAGAGGACTTGGCTTTGGGAACCCAGCACCTAAGTGGGATCCAAAAACCAAGTACCTCACACTTCCTGAGAACAAGATTTGCACACACTGTGGTAAAACAGGTCACTATAAAAGTGAATGCACTGCAAAAGAAAAGACAAGTCAAAAGAACAAAGAATTTATTCAAGGGATGAATAGGCTACCAAGTTGGGATAAAAAGAATCTGATTCATCCTTTTACCTATAGAAAGGGATCCAAACTTGTTTGGGTTCCTATGACTAACCCCTGATTTTCTTTTGCAGGTCCAAGTAAAGGGGAGCAATCAAATATTTTACATGGATAGTGGCTACTCAAAGCAGATGACAGGATGCAAGAACCAGTTCCTTTCACTTGAGGACCTTAAAGGAGATAATGTCTCCTTTGGAAACGGAAAGAAAGGTGACATCATTGGGGTTGGAAAGGTAGGTAAGACTGGTTCTCACTCTATTGAGAATGTCTACTTGATAGATTGATAGAAGTACAATCTAATAAGTGTATCACAATTGTGTGATAAAGGTAACATGGTAGCATTTACCTATACAAAAGGCTTTGTGATTAATCTTACCACTGACAAGATAGTTTTGCAGGGAAAAAGAGGGAACAACATATATGTTGTGGATCTGTCCACACTTTTAGATAATGAACTTACCTGCTAAAGTGTGTTGGATAATGATCCCCTCCTTTGGCACAAGGGACTTGGACATGCCAGTCTAGGTCAACTCAATAAACTAGTCTCCAAGGACTTGGTGATAGGGATGCCTAACATTAAGTTTAAGGAAAATAATTTTTGTGAGGCTTGTGCAAGGGGAAAGCAGGTAAGATCCTCTTTCAAAATAAAGAAAGTGGTAAGCACCATCGGGACGATGGAACTGGTCGATATGGATCTTTGTGGATAAATGAGAATATTAAGAAAATATGGTAAGAGATATGCTATGGTGCTTGTTGATGATTACTCTAGGTTTACTTGGACATTGTTTTTAATATCTAAAGATGAAGCATTTGACATGTTCACTTCTTTTGTTAGAAAAACCCAAAAACAACTAGGTAATCAACTTGCATCAAATAGGTCTGATCATGGTACTGAATTTGAGAATGCTAAATTTGCTAAAAATTGTGATGAGCATGTCATAAATCATATTTTTTCTACTCTTAGGACTCTACAACAAACTGGAGTAGTTGATAGAAAGAATAGAACATTGGAAGAAATGGCTAGGACTATGCTTCTTTCTAGTAAACTGCCACATAGTTTTTGGGCAGAAGATGTGAACACTGCATGCTACATCATAAATAGGTGCATGACTAGACCTCTTGTTGAGAAGACTCTCTATGAGTTACTTAAATGGAGAAAGCCAAATATATCCCATTTTAGGGCATTTGTATGCAAGTGCTTTGTGCACTATAATGGTAAAGACTCCCTAGGTAAGTTTGATCCTAGAAGTGATGAGGAAGTATTCTTGAGATATTATTCACACAGTAAAGCTTAAAGATTTATAATAAAAGAACTATGTGTGTAGAAGAAAGTGTACATGTGGTTTTTGACGAAACTAACATTCTTTTTGAGAGGCAGGAACATGATGATGAAGTAATTGGGCTGATAAGAAACTCAAATGAAACCACAACCCATACTGAAGCTGCAACAGAGGAAGGAACAAGTGATGGAATATGTCCTTTCACCCAGGGCAACTTGATAGGGGGAACTGAACAAAGAGGAAATGATCCTTAATCATCGAGGGAACCTGTCCATGAACCTATTCCTCAGCAACAAAACATTGAAGGAACATCTAGGGGAAACTAGTTGGTTGTGGAACCTTACAAGTATCAAAGTTCTCATCCCATTGAGAACATAATTACTAATCCAACCTATGGAATCAAAACCACATTTTCCTTAAAGAATCTCTGTGCTTTTGATGCTTTTTTATTGCTTATTGAACCTAAAAATATTGCTGAGGCTTTGCAGGATGCAGACTGGGTAAATGCAATGCAATATGAACTAAACCAATTAGAAAGAAATCAAGTTTAGCATCTGGTAGCAAGACCCAAGGACAGATCAGTAATTGACACAAAATGGGTCTTCAGAAACAAACTTGAAGAAGATGGAACAGTTACAAGAAACAAGACAAGATTGGTGGTTCAAGGATATAGTCAAGAGGAGGGCATAGACTATGATGAGACTTTTTCTCCAGTTACAAGATTGAAAGAAATTAGACTCCTTATATCCTTTGCTGCTTACATGGAATTCACTCTCCATCAGATGGATGTCAAGAGTGCCTTCCTTAATGGTTATCTAAAGAAAGAAGTGTTTGTTAAGCAACCTCTAGGCTTTGAAAGCAAGGAATGTCCTGATCATATGTACAAGCTTGAAAAGGCACTTTATGGGCTCAAGCAGGCTCCAAGAGCATGGTATGAAAGATTATCAAAATTATTGCTCGAGCATAGCTACTAAAGAGGTAAAATTAACAATGCTTTATTCCTGAAAGAAAAAAAGTAAAGATCTCTTGGTAGTTCAGATATATGTTGATGATATAATCTTTGGAGTAGCTACTAATAAGTTAAGTAAAGAATTTGCTAAACTAATGGGGAGTGAATTTGAAATGAGTATGATGGGTGAGCTTAATTTCTTTTTAGGCTTA